TAATGATGGGCAGCTTCACTCAGCTGCCTAAGCTTGTATTGGTAGCTACCTGTTCAGGCTGAGTAGAGGCTTGTCCTACTCAAAGGAGAGAAGGAGCATCTGAGGTTACAGAATCCTTCTGAACAAACTCACTCCAAGAAGGGCTCCTACCAGGAGCTGACAGGGCCTTGGCTGAGTTCCTGCACACATACAGGGACAGGCCTCGGAGGGCAACAGGATGATGGGCATCAACAGTCCAGAAAGAAGCCATGCAAATGGAGAACAACATGCTGGTGATGAAGGCTGTGGACAGACAGCTTGACAGCTCAGGGTATCACTGTGATTGGCTACTCCAGAGGTCCCACTGGGGGGATCTTTGCTTCTCCACTGCACAATGTCCTGTGATTGCCCGTAAACCACTTCTTCGAGTGGACCCTTATTGGGAATCTGGTGAACTATTCACCAAGAAATTGGACACAGGGGACTCAGTGGTCCTGTAGGTCATCAAAATGTTCATGGGCTCCTTTCCTCTGTACAGAGCTATAGTGGACCCTCCTTTGTAGCGGAGGTAACCCAACAAGTAAACAAAGCCTTACATCTAAAATAGAAATTGCATATATCCTAGAATCGATACAGGAAACCCATCTAAAGTGAGATAGGGTGTAGGGTGTTGCCGCTTGTCCTCCTGGATGAGGGTAGCTCTTTAGAAGCAGGCTTAAGTTAAGCCCCTAAAAAAATAGTTTATTAGAGACCCTTCCTAACGCCCCAAAGTAAGTCTGGTAATATAACCACAAGTTTTAAAAAAATAGAATAAAGCAATGTGTCACATGAGTGAGTCAGGTGCTACCCACTGTACATGAGATTGCCTCTTTCAGGCCCTGCCCCAGTTGGAAGCAGAGAAGTGAACGGAACCCTATGAGGTGCCTCTGACAACTCACACCTCGTCAAAATTGTCAGACGTGAAACCGTGGGTCCTTCATACTAAAGTAGAGGGGTGTATCCCCCAGTGGAGGGGCCAGCCTTCAGGCAATATAAATAAAGTGAGAAAAAGGAAAAAATGAAAATGTTGTTACTTTTGCCAATCTTACTTTGGTTATTTGTTTTGCCTATAGGGTAGAGGGACACTCCTTAGTGAGGAGTTCCCTGGGCCTCTTCTTTTGATCTGTCATGCTGCCGGGTGTGTTATCCTAAACCTCGTTTGGTGCAGGTATTTCTGTATATAATTTCTGAATGCAGAAGCCGCTCTCTTGTATCACCTACAGGGTAAAACTATCAGCCCTGCTCCCAGAGGTCCCACGTTTCTTTTCTTTTTTTCTTTTTTCTTTTTTTAATTTTAATTTATATTTTATTATTAATTTTTTTTAAACCCCAGGTGGCACATATAGTAGTATCCATGTTTCTTTTCTAACCCAGCCCTTTATCAGACTTTGTGTGCAAGGTGACAGTCCATTTCACCTTGTCCTCACGGTTGGGGTTACTGCTTATGCCCTTTTCTACCACCCCAATTCAACAGGAAGTAGCTTGATGACTACGTTGTCCCTCCTCACATAGATGCGGAAGGGTAAAATTTACAGCAGGGAATATGTAACAGAGAAAATGGCCTAAAAAGGGGTGAAAATGTTTTCTGTGTCTTCAAAACCCCCTCACCCTTTTCGAAAACTAAAACATGCATCCCTGCCTCAGGCCAGTGGTCAGGAGGGGCAGGGGAATGTCCTTTGTTCTCTGTGCCACAGGAGATGGCTCAAGGGAATTGTCTGGGCAGAGGTCAAGAGATTTTCTTAGCCAAAGATGGGATGAATCAGAACCTTTAAAAGCTCTGTATTGGGGGGGTGGGGGAGGCAACACACAACCTAAACATTTGTACCCCCATATTATGCTGAAATAAATAAAATAAAAAACCCTCTGTACTTCTGCTCAGAAGCAGGACATTGGTACTTTAAGAGGGGAGTCTGCCAACCCCCTCATTTGACAGCAAATTAATAAACTCTTTCCTCCAAAAAAAAAAAAAGTGCTAGTAGCCTTCCCTCTGACAACATCTCTTCTGAATGTTAATAATAATTCTAAGGCAGGTAGTTAAGCAGGTAGACAATGAAACTTGGAGATTGCCTGGAGTTGGTTGGTCTTGGGAGCTTTCTCTGCATCATTGTCATAAGACTCCCTCAGGAATCTCCAGTTGTCCTGTGTGGTTCTCCTGGGCTTTATACCCTGCTAGGCAGTTCTTCAGGGTAATTTGCAATAAGTGACATGCCAGTCATTTGACTCACTACCTCCATCTAGAGGCCCATTTCATTAAAAGAATGGACAGCTTCTGCAGGTGAATCCTTGTCTTAACCAGGTTTTGTTGAAGTTAATAAGCTCCAATTACAGGAAGGTTACACTTGCCAGCCCTGTGTCTAGTTATGGGTGGTCCCTCATACCAAGAAAGCTAGCTGTGATTGGAGTTGTATAATAGTAATTGGCATGTAACCCAAGGAAACCAGTGGTCTACCAGATACTGTTGGTTTAGGTGATGCTGTGGTATGAGGAAAGAGATGTACTGTGTTAACCCATGAGGAAATGGCAGACATGAAAAAAAATTTTTAATAGAAATATTAGCAAGGTATTCATTTCCATTGATCCCTGTCTTAGAGGTTCGAGACAGGGGAAATTTTAGGATAAATAAGGTATAGTCTCTAATCTCACTTCATTTATTATTTTCTTTCTTCTGCTTGGTTAGGGTTCATTTCTTTTCTGATTTCTTAAGGTGGAAGCTGAAGTCACTGATTTGAGACCTTTCTTTGCTAATATAGGTATTTCCTTTTAACTATGGCTTTGGCTGTATCCTACAAATTTTAATATGTTGTGGTTTCTCACCAATCAAAATACTTTCTAATTTCTCTTTTGATTTCTTCTTTGACGCATGAGGCATTTAGAATTGTGTTCTTTATTTTTTTTCTTTTTTTTTCCTGTGTCATGATTCAGGAAAGAATTGTATTATTTAAATGTTTACAAATACTTAGGTATTTTCCATATATATATATATATATTTTTTTTTTTTTTTTTAAAGAGATTGGATCTATGGGCCAGGCTCAGTGGCTCACACCTGTAATCCTAGCACTTTGGGAGGACAAGGTGGAAGGATTGCTTGAGGCCAGGGGTTCAAGACCAGCCTGAGCAAAAGTGAGACCCTGTCTCTGCAAAAAATAAAAAAATTAGCTGGGTGTGGTACACACACTCGGGAGGCTGAGGCAGGAGAATCCCTTGAGCCCAGGAATGTGAGGTTGCAGTGAGCTGTGATGACGCTACTACACTCTGGCCTAGACAACACAGCGAGACCCTGTCTCCAAAAAAAGAGAGAGAGAGACCAGGTCTCCCTGTGTTTCCTAGGCTGGACTCGAACTCCTGGGCATTAATTTCTTTTCTTTTTTTTTTTTTGAGACAGAGTCTCACTTTGTTGCTCAGGCTAGAGCGAGTGCCGTGGCGTTAGCCTAGCTCACAGCAACCTCAAATTCCTGGGCTCAAGCAATCCTCCTGCCTCAGCCTCCCGAGTAGCTGGGACTACAGGCATGCGCCACCATGCCTGGCTAATTTTTTCCATATAAGTTGGCCAATTAATTTATTTCTATTTATAGTAGAGACGGGGTCTCACTCTTGCTCAGGCTGGTCTCAAACTCCTGGCTCAAAGGATCCGCCCACCTCGGCCTCCCAGAGTGCTAGGATTACAGGTGTGAGCCACCGCACCAGGCCTCTACTTTGTCTTAACATAGCTGCTCCAGTTTTCTTTTGATTATTTAAATATGGTATATCTTTTTCTGTCCTTTTACTTTGAATTTATTCATGTCTTTATATTTAAAGTGTGTTTCTTGTATGTAATATATAGCTGAATCTTGCTTTTTTATCCAGTCTGACAGTCTCTACCTTTTATTGATAATTGGGATGTTTAGACCATTCACATGTACTGTTGTTGATGTGATTAGGTTTAAATCTGCCATCTATTTGTTTTCTGTGTGTCCCATCTGTTCTTTGCTCACTTTCCCTCTCTTTCTGCCCTTCTTTTTACATCAATTTAGTACTATTCATAATTCCATTTTATTCCCCATTGTTGGCTTATTAGCTATAACTCTCTTTAATGATTGCTTTAGGAATTATAGGACACATTTTTAGCTTTATCACAGCCTACCTCAACAGTTATTATTCCACTTCACATATAGTTTAAGAATTTTGGCCAGGCATGGTGGCTCACACCTGCAATCCCAGCACTTTGGAGGCCAAGGTGGTAGGATTGCTTGAGGCCAAGAGTTTGAGTTTGCAGTGAGCTATGATGACATCATTGTACTCTAGCCAGGACAACAGAGCAAGATCTTGTCTCAGGAAAAAAAAAAAGAATCTTAAACAGTGTACCCAGCTTCTGATACATTTTACTATTTTATATAATTTTACATATAATTATATATAATATACAATTTAATAAAATTAAAAAATATTTTAAAAGTCACTTATCTTTTTAAAAGATATCTAAATAACAAGAAAAAATTCCTTTATTTACTCACATAGTTACCATTTCTGGTGTTCTTCATTCCTTTCTGTAGATGCAGATTTTTATCTGGTATCCTTTTCCTTGTACCTGAAGGACTCCCTTCAGCATTTCTTGTAATGCAAATCTGATCTACTAGTGATACATACTCTCAGCTTTTGTATGTCTGTTAAAGTCTTTAATTGTTTTTTTGTTTGTTTTATTTGAGTCAGTCTTACTCTGTTGCTCGGGCTAGAGTACTGTGGCTTCAGCCTAGCTCACAGCAACCTCAAACTCCTGGGCTCAAGCAATCCTCCTGCCTCAGTCTCCCTAGTAGCTGGGACTACAGGCACGTGCCACCATGCCCAGCTATTTTTTCTATATATATATATTTTTAGTTGTCCAGCTAATTTCTTTCTATTTTTAGTAGAGATGGGGTCTCACTCTTGCTCAGGCTGGTCTCAAACTCCTGACCTGGAGGTATCCTCCTGCCTCAGCCTCCCAGAGTGCTAGGATTACAGGCCTGAGCCACTGCATCCGGACCCTTTCTCCAATTTTATGTAACTTTCCAAAGGTGTTCTTCATGAATAAAAGCTTAGAAATAAGTGGCAGCATAGTATCTTCTTTCTTCACCTTGTTTTTGCTTTTTGTTTTTTCATTTAACGGGTTATTTCATAATAGTACTTGCACTCTAAGAGTTGCCTTATTCTTTTTAACAGTTGCATAGGGTTCCATTGTATGGGTGCACCATAATTTATGCACCCTTTCCCCTTTCAAAGACTTTAAGTTGTGTTTAAACTTGTGTGGTATTATAAACAAGGCTACAAAAGCTATTTTCATTGTGTGTATTAATATATACATTTCCCACATGGGTCACTCTGTCTACAGGATTAATTCCCAAATGCAGAAATATGTCAAAGCGTTTGTACTTTTGAAATGTAGGGAGCTGTGATTAAATTGCTTTTCAGAGAGATTGCAGTGACTTATGTCCCCACAGCAGGGTATGAAGGTGAATGTTTCCCCATATTCTCTCCAGGAGTTTACTAAACTTTTTATGTGCTTGTATTTTTTAAATAGTGGTTATAAACACTGTATCAAAGGGTCACCTTTGTGAGGGATGACAGTAGTTGCACTGCATTTGTTTGCTAGTAAACTTAGAAATAGTGAACAAAGATTAATTCCTTTTTATTTATGATCATTTACTCAGTTCAGTCTACAGACTTAACCTACGTATGCCTGGTCCTAGGGGTAGAAAGGTCTGTGACTTGGTCCCTTCCTCCAGGCAGCTTGTTATATGGAGGGAGATAAGAGATAACTACGTTATGGTATGTGTTCTGGTGGAGATGGAGAAAATCGTATAATAGAACAAGGAAAAGTGTTGCTAGAATGCTCTTAGGAAGTGTTGCCAAGGACTGTTGATTATGTTGAACTTGATGGTGAATGCAGTTCCGGAAGCAGCCCAGGTGGAGAGTAGGAAGTTGCTCCTGCTAATGAGCCAGCTCAGGGTGGATGCTGTTAGCCCAGCCTCATCACTTCCCTGCAGAATTACCAGGCTTCATGCAGGAAATCAGCAGCCTGTGATTGGAGGGCTGGTGTGTGATGGGATAATGAACTTGGTAGTGTCGGCAGAGGTGATTGGCCAGGCCCTGCTGCAGTGAGAATGCAGACTGGATGCTCGGGTCCTTGGCTTGCATGATAAGCGAGGACAGCTGAATAATTGCGAGCTCGAAGTTGCTTCTGCCTCCGTGAGAGGTCTGCGTGGCTGTCGCTTTTTCCTTTTTTAAAAAGAAAGCCAAACATTTGATCACCGTTACCTGCAGAAGTGAGTTTTTATTGAAGAAGCTCCAGCTGCTTTCTCCTTATTGCCAGCTTCCCGGCAAGGCTCCCTCAGAGTGAGCTACTTCTCAGGCCAGGCACGACAGCAGTGCTGGCCAATCTGAAAAAGCAGGAGACAGCCCTTGCATGCAGAGAGCTTCCAGCCTAGTCTTCCAGGCAGCTGTGTAGCCAGAGAGCCTTGGTATTGTGGTCACATTCCTCAAAAGTGAACAGTCACCATCGGCAGCGTTTGGAGGAAGCTGTGATGTTGCAGATGCTGTGGCATTTTCTGGCTAGCTTTTTCCCTAGGGCCGGGTGCCAAGACTCCACAGAGGGGAACCATCATGAAGTCAGAGGCACCCCAGCCCCTGCTCGGGGAGACCAGGTATCAAGCTTTCTGGTGAAACAGGATGGAAGGGCTGAGGCCACGGAAAAGAGACCCACCATTTTGCTGGTGGTTGGACCTGCAGAGCAGTTTCCTAAGGTAATGGCAGCTTCAAGAAAAACTCCTAGTTTAAGGGCTGATCTGGGATCGATTTTCTGGAATAAAACGGATATGGGGAGGAAAGGAGGACTTAAAATCAATTTTGGTACTGGGGAGAAGTGTTACGCAATGAAGAAGCCCACAAAATTCAGTCCAGAATCTTTCCATGGCCACTGTAAAAGCTACATTACCCATTATGATCACCCAATGTGGCTATTGAGGGAAAGAAGGTTGAATTCAAAAGATTTGCCTTAGCATTTGTCACAGAAAGCCATTTGAAGGTAAGGGACAAACTATTAAAGTGTTTCTTAGCTTAACTGAACAGTGCAAGGAGGACAGCCAGAAGGGCAGAGCGTGCACCTAGAAAGTTGAACCCAATTGCCTGGACCTGGAGGTGGGGTCTTGGCATCTGGAAGGTCACTCCCCTTGCCTCAGTACAACCATCTTACCTTTGGGTCCAGAAGGAAGGGTGAAGGGGTGGAGCTGAGTCCCAGGAGAGGCTAGAGTCTCAAGGCACAGAGGCTGGCACCCCTCTGGGGATGACCACAGCCACTACGAGTCTGCCACGTATGGGGCCTTTAATCCTTGCAAGCCCTTTGGTCCCTCTAAGTGTGGGTTATCACATCAGGTCTTAAGGAGAGCCAAGGTGAGTGGAGTGCTCCCATTTCCTAGATGAGGAACCTGAGATGCAGACAAGTTAAATACCTTGCCCAGGGTTAAATGATTAAAGAGAGGTAGAGCTGAGATTTAACCCCCAAATCTGCTGCCTGAGCAAGAGTGAGACCCTGTCTCTACTAAAAATAGAAAAAATTAGCTGGGCATGGTGGCGCACGCCTATAGTCCCAGCTACTCGGGAGGCTGAGGCACAGGGATCACTTGAGCCCAGGAGTTTGAGGTTGCAGTGAACTACAGTGATGCCATGGCACTGCACTCTACCTGGGGTGTGAGAGCAAGACTCTGTCTCAAAAAAAAAAAAAAAAGAAAAGCCCAAATCTGTCTGGAACCTGTGCAAGGGTGCAGTCCTTTGACTAAATTCAAATTTTATGGAACAAATATGTTCTGGTCGCACACGGAGATCTGGAGGGCCACATGTGGCCCCGACGCCGTAGATTCCCCACCCCTGCCAGAGCCCTCAGAATTAGAAGGAAATTGCCATTTGGCTGAGATTTCTCCTGCCTATAGCAGGAGTGACCTTGTTCACCTCCTAAGCTTTGGCTATTTTCAATCTTTTCTCTTTACTCTGGATAAAAATGAGTCAGAAAGGAAGGAGATTCTGCCCTGTGTTTGGCATATCATAGGTACCCCAAAAATGTTTGTTGAGTTGAATTGCTACGTTTAAGAAATGTTCATTTTGTCTTTGCTAATAGGGACTTTTGATGTAATAACACCTTTTGCAGTAGTGTAGGCATTGAGAGAATCCTTAGTCTGTTATAAGCCCTTTCTGGGAGTCAGGGTCTCATGGAGTCTTTGTTATGCCTGAGATTTTCATATTTAATGCGCAACGAGGGGGTGTCACTTTCTGCCTTTTGCTCATTTTAGACAAGATCGGAAATGGCGGTGGCGCTAGCTTTTGTGAGGAACTTTTATCTACACACCTGCTTGCCCTATGGCCTGAATTGGCTGGCTGCCTTTGAAAGTTACCTATTTTTGACTTTAATAATTAACTGCTCCATTTCCCAGTGTCCTATGCACCCCTTGCCAGCCCTGCCCCAAGGGGTTGCCTCAAGGCAGGACTTTCTGTTCTGAACAGCTTAGTCCCTGGCCTGCAGAAGCAAGGGATCCACACCTTTTACTGGCTCTGTTCAAGGGAATGGATCAGCTTCCTGGTTGGGGAGAGCAGCTGGTTTGGTCGAAGCAAGGTAGAAAGCACATCTGGGCAGCACAGACTCAGCAGGTGAACCAAGAATTGGAATGGTAGAAGCACTGGTGCAGCAGACATCCTTTGCCTGGCCTCATGATTTCTGCTGGGAAGAGGCCTCCAGGATGTTGTGAAAACATGTTAGAGAAGTTCACTTTGGTTCCCAGGCTCTTCAGTGTCCCAGAAGCACTACTGTGTTTTGTTCTCACTTCCCCTGTTCAAATATGTCTGCTAGTGAGTCAGGTTCCTGCAAGCTTTTATTCTAAGGAACTGGTCCAGTTTTTCCCTTTATCTTTGTCTTGCAGTTAATCTGCAGTTGGAGAAGAAAGCCATGCTCTGGAGTGGGAGGTGCCCTCAGCGGCATTCATGCTTTCAAATCCTGGGGGATAGAAAATTTTGCTCATTGTGTGTGTAATTGCCAAGTATAGGCAGGCAGGTTTCATTGGAAACCAGCTACACTGGGCTGTCATGGCAACCCGAGCATCAAATGACACTGTGGCCACTGCCACCAATGAGGTTTGAGAGCCCTAAGGGTGGGTGGGGCTTGAACACCGGATGCTGGTGAGGCTTCTCATATTAATATTTCTGGCTTGGTCTGAGTCATTGCAGAGGAGTGGGGAGAAACTTCGTGACCTAATGGTACGCTCCCAAAGGCACTGCACCTGCCCTGCTCTTACTCATGCTATTCCGCCCCTTACAGGAAGCTCCTGCCTGCTTTTGGCAGGTAACAGACTGGTAGAACAAGGAAAGCTTGTGGTGGCATTGGAGATTTGCCGTGAGAAGATGCTCAGGAGAGGGCCTGGTACTTTACAGACTAAATGAAATCTGATGCCACTAAGTCCTAAGGGATCTAGTATTGCTGTCATTGTCTCCAAATACTAGTCATAGAAGTGGACATCGGAGAAGAGGAAACAGATAGATCTGTGTCACGAAGCTAGAATAAGTTAAAAAGAGCAGAGTCGAATCATACACAATGCGGCATATTATGCCCAGATCTTGGAGAGCCAAGAAAGCCGGAGTGAAACGTCAGGAATGAAACACGAGGCCTGCTTTCATTCTTCCTTATTGTATTTTTCACATGGGCATTCAGAAGCTGTGGCACAAAGACAGTTTTTTGTTGTTTGTTGTCTAAGACTCAACTCGCTTAAGTTACACCTCTCCCACACACCTGCCACCTCCCAATATAAAGCTGTAATCCTTAGTATCAGGCTTACTGGCATTCTTGGGAACTGAATTCTAAAATCTCCTTTTGGCAGTGTTGCTTTGCGGTGCTGTTCTGAGTGGATGTTGTAAAAAGAGGGTCAGCCCTGCAGGCTTTGGAACTTGGCAAAATCAAGTCATCTCTCTAGGCCTGTTTGTTCAACTCAGAGATCAAGGGATGACCCCAGAGCCCCTCTGGACGCCATAGTCTACAATTCCAGAAATTATAGCAATGGCCCTGGGTGCTAGACACCTAGAGATTGACTCATTTGGGAAGAATTCTCAGTTTTGTGAAAATGGAGTTCTGGTGGCTGGGCACAGTGGCTCTCGCCTGTAATCCTAGCACTCTGGGAGGTTGAGGCAGGAGGATTGCTTAAGCTTAGGAATTCGAGACCAGCCTAAGCAAGTTCAGGACCCCATCTCTACTAAAAATAGAAAAATTAGGCTGGTGTGGTGGTGCCTGCCTGTAGTCCCAGCTACTTGGGAGGCTGAGGCAGGAGAATCATTTGAGCCCAGGAGTTTGAGGTTCCAGAGAGTTGTGATGATCCCACCGTACTCTAGCCAGGGGTACAGAGCTAGACTCTGTCTCCAGGAAAAAAAAAAAAAGAAAAGAAAGAAAGAAAGAAAATGGAGTTCTGAATTACCTATGAAACTCAATGGGATGGGTGGTTTAAATAAATAACCAAACACCAACTTAAATTTATCCAATGAAGACATTCTGTGGGACCCAATCACAGCAGCAAAATAAAAATAATTTGAACCCCTTAAGATTAATGTTGGAACTGATGTTAGCATTGTAAAATAATGTCGTGACAAGCACATGCAGAACACTTCAAAGAACAGCAATACTCTGGATCTGTGAAGAGCTTTATTATAATCAAGGAGATTCCATTCTTTTTTTCTAAAAACACCTGTTCCTATTTGATAATCTTTAATAATTTCTCCTTAAAATATAGGGTATAAGTTTCATTTTGGCATTGTTTTCAAGCCTCTTCTCAGATTTGTTTCATAAATACATTATACAACTCAATGTTACAGTTATATTTACCAAAATTATTTGAAAAATATGCTTTTATTAGGAAACAAAATCCCTAATTGAATAATCAGCCAAAATATTTGCTATTTTGAATTAGAATGACTACAGTCATCACTAAAATGAGATGCTTCAATAGATCTGTGTTATTTTAGTTTCAGTGGCAACCATGAATAATTTAACAAAGGAAAGCCAGCATTTTAAATTCTTTTCTTTATAAATATGAGCCTCCTTTAAAATATATCTTGTTCAGTTGGATGATATGCCCTGATAACTCTATCTGCAGTTGCTCAGAAAAACAGGCCTTCATCGAGCATGGTCATGTTTGCGTTCCTTAGGCTTTGAGGCCAGCTGTGACAATTCCTAATTTGGAAGCTGCTCGTAAAACACCTTCTGAAGGCCAGGCGACGCCTGTAATCCTAGCACTCTGGGACACCAAGGCGGGCGGATTGCTCAAGGTCAGTAGTTCGAAACCAGCCTGAGCGAGACCCGTCTCTACTAAAAATAGAAAGAAACTAATTGACCAACTAAAAATATATATATACAAAAAATTAGCCAGGCATGGTGGCGCATGCCTGTAGTCCCAGCTGCTCGGGAGGCTGAGGCAGAAGGATTGCTTGAGCCCAGGAGTTTGAGGTTGCTGTGAGCTAGGCTGATGCCGTGGCACTCACTCTAGCCTGAGCAACAAAGTGAGACTCTGTCTCAAAAAAATAAAATAAATAAATAAATAAACACCTTCTGTAATCAAAGCAAGAGGTTAGTTCCAGGCAAAGAGGTCCAAAGGTTTGTAGCAACAGCCTTCTGCCTTCAAGGACCCCAATAGTAGAGATAAGATGTGTGTTAAAATAGCTCCAAAGCAGAACATTCTGGATTGGGCAGCTTAGGAGACAGCTGAGTATCTTGGATTTAGCGGAGGCTGAGCAGGGCCTGCTTGGGTAATCCGGAGCCGGCCCAGCAGACCTGCCTCCAGTGTTGTCCAAGACCTGCTTTTACAGACACATCATCAAATTTTTTAGAAGGGCCAAAATGTCATATCACTTGTTATAATTCCTGTTCCATAATGTTGTACATAAGCTTCAACCCTTTTAACATCCTCTTTACGAGGTAACAAAAGGCTTTTTAGTGAATTAAGAAGTCCTTCTAGGTGGATCATGCCTCTAATCCTAGCACTCTGGGAGGCCGAGGCGGGTGGATTGTTTGAGCTCAGGAGTTCCAGACCTCGTCTCTACTAAAAATAGAAAGAAATTAGCTGGACAACTAAAAATATGTAGAAAAATTAGCCAGGCATGGTGGCGCATGCCTGTAGTCCCAACTACTCAGGAGGCTGACGCAGAAGGATCTCTTGAGCCCAGGAGTTTGAGGTTGCTGTGAGCTAGGCTGACGCCATAGCACTCTAGCCTGGGTAGCAGATTGAGATTCTGTCTGAAAGAAAAAAAGTCCTTGTAATTTTGCTGATCCCCAAATGATAACCACCCATTTTTATCCCTCCTGGGAGTGTGAAGATTTAGTCTATATTAGGAAGAGGCGCTGTGGAAGGAACGAGGTGACGTGGTCTCTTCCTCCGCAGCACGGATCTGTGGGGAAGGAATGAGGCAGAGAACGCAGGCGGCCTGCACAGGATCTCCTAGTAATGTTCACGTCTTTCTAGGACCTGAGATTTGCTCTTGTCCACACCTAACAGGGCTATTCTAGAGCTGCAGTGCCCCATAGAGGTTTCTGTGATCGTGGAAATGCTCAGTGACCATGTGTGGCCATAGAGCACTTGCAAAGTGGCCACACCACTGAGGAACTGAGTTTGTAATTTCATTTCCTTTTAATTAATTTACATTTTAAAAGTTTGTTTTAAACAGCAAAGTTCTAGGCCAGGAAGCTATGACTAAACTGAGCTCTCAAGTGGATGTGGGCATTGAAGACTGTGGGTCTTAGGTGAGGCCTCTGCAGACCCCAGATTGATGCCTCTCCTGAGTCCCCCAGCACAGAGACCTTTAGCCTCTACTGTGTCGTCTTCCCACCCTGTCATATCAGCTCCTGGGCGTTTCTGGACCCCCAGGTGAAGACTGCAGGGGAATGAGTTGGTTCCTAGGTGCTTACGTGGCAGAGTGGCCCGGGAGAGGTTTCAAAGCACTAAGTACATGTGGGTTGTGGAGGGCTGGGGGTTCCCCAGAGCAGGAGCAGCCAGGACCATGCCTAGAAAGCCATGTGTGGCCAGGACAGCAGTCTGCACCCCCAGCTCCCCTCCTGGGCCCAAGGTAGGGTCCTCTTTCCAGGATAACTGGACCTGGCTCCTGTCCTCAGCCTGTCTTCAGTGGGCACTGGTTCAGTCTCTCTCCATCCACTGATTTTTCCGTTGGGAATGATTTACTAAGGGGGGAAAACCGTTGTATTGTGTGACGCGTTTGGAGACCTTGTATGACAACATGCTGTAGGCTGTTTGTTTATTTGGGGGTTGGCAGCCAGGGGGTGAAAGGTTTGTTTGGGCACAGTGCCTTGCCTGTCTCTGAAGAGTTAACTGCAGGGAGGCAGCGGGTGACGTCAGTCCTGATCTTTGCACCTCTCCCCTTGAGCAACCTGACACCGCCTTCTACTCAGGGGTCTGTGCTCATTGGTGCTGGAGGGACTTGCAGTGGGCGGGGTTTTTAATTAAGTAAAAGGGCAGGGCTTAAGCAGCCAATGACAGGTGTGGCCAGTGGCGTATTTTGTGCGAGTTAACCAGGACCAGCAGCATTCTCACAACTTGCTCTGGTGGCAGTGGCGGCTGAGCGCCCAGCAGTCCAGCAGCATGCTCTGCCTGTGCCTGTACATGCCGCTCATCGGGGAGGCCCAAGCTGAGTTCCAGTACTTTGAGTCCGAGGGGCTTCCCGCCGAGCTGAAGTCCATCTTCAAGCTCAGTGTCTTAATTCCCTCCCAGGAGTTCTCCACCTACCGTCAGTGGAAGCAGGTGTGTAGGGGTGACTGCGTCGCCAGGAAGTTAACCGGGGTTTGTTGAGTGAATGGCTGAGCGGCGTTAGGGGCATGCACATGTGAACTGTCCCCTGCAGAGAGGAAAGAATGTCTGAAATGTGGGAGTTTTTCTACACAGTCGTCATGTGGCTCCAGCCAGCTGAAGGTGCATGTCACCAGAGTGACTGGTTTTCACGTGACCTCCATGGCAGGCTGGGATTCTAGAGAAGGCACCTGTGGGAGGTGGATTCTGGGAAAAGGGTCTCCTTTTGCTGGGGATGGGGGATTTCCTGAGAAGTACAGGTCTGGGCAGGGACTTGGGGGGCGATGCTCCTGCTGCTGGGGGGCAGAGGCGAGGAACGTGTGCGAGGGGAGAGCCCAGAGTGGAGCCACTGTGCCCGGGGGGTGCTGGAGCTGAGCCTGGTGTGGAGGCCAGGGGAGCCTTCCCATCTTCTAGACTCTCATGTCCCTGTGGAGCAGGGATGCAGCAGGGACTGTGACGTCCTAAAGATGGGGAAGCTGAACGGCAGAGTCTGGGGATCACTTGCCGTCTTGACTTCCTTGTGCATCAGATTTTGCTGTCCCCTGATGCTCCCGATGGGTGAACTGGGGACAGATTTTCATATCCAAGGAAATCGAGAAAGGAGTCTCTGGTCCTTTCGAGGCAGAAGCAAGTACTTTGAGAATATTTTGAGACCAGCTGCAGCAGGCACATCCTCGGGCTGTGTGTATCACAGCACCTGTCCCGGTAAAGCACATGGACTGCCTGGTGGCAGTTGGCCGGGTACCAGAGAGCTCCATGCTTAAGGTGTGCCTCCTCCCTCAATGACACAAAGACTTACTCCCACTCTAGTCAGAATCTGGAGTTGTCACCCTTTAGGTACTTTGTATCACTCTTTGATGAGAGCACAATGTCCACAGGAAGCTAAACATAACCTCAGATAGCAGATGAAATATACACCAGCATCTGTCCCACATTCCAGCCACACCTCACATGTTAGTCTTTTTGATCATGTCATGTCATGGGTGTCTCTCCTGGCCTCCCTCCTCAGCATGGCTGAGGAATCACAAAGAGCCATTGAGTGGTTCAGGGTGTTGTCTGAGAGAGACTGACTGTGATCCTTTGAGAACATGAGCTAGCCACCGGTCCATTGATTTCCAAACCCAAACTGGCTCAGAAGGCTTTGGGACCATGTTGATTTGTGGATAGTGAATGGATTTCTTGCTAAGAGAATTGGGGAACACAGGAAAACTACAGCCATTCTCCTTGGGAGATACTCGGTTTGGGTTTTGGCCTCTTGAATCACGGTGTTGGTATGTTGGAGTGACTCAGGTTTGTCCCCCACCTGCTGGAGCTTAGCCTGTAGGGTGGCAGCAGGATGTGCAGGAAGGAGGTTCGGGAGCCCAACAGGCCCAGCTTGAATCCAGCCCACCACTTTCCTAGCTGTGTGACCTTGGGTAAATCCGCAGCTTCTCTGAATTCCTGTTTCCTTCTCTATAAATGAGGGAATGACAGTACTCATCTCCTGGGGCTATTTGAGAGGAGTCACCAGGTCACTAGAAGTAAAGCATTCAGCATAACTGCAGCACGCTAGGTGCTAGTGCTCAGGGAATGTTTGCTCTTTTGTGGAAAAACTCCAATTACTGAGTACCCAAAACCACTTACTGCTATTGAACTAAAGCCACCTCTGAAGGCAGGTACAGTGTCTGGGAACCTCATGGCCAAGGAACAGGGTCTCTCAAAGCCTTCTTGGGTCACTAAGGGACTACTAAGTCTAGCTGCCTTGGTTTTCGGTGACTGGCCGAGAGAGGGGGATTGGGTATATCATGCGGCTTCCCAGCGACTGGTAGTGCCATCAACACATACCCAGGAATAGTTTCCTGTGGCCTCTGCAGCCTCCAGAGTGCTCCTTGGCAGAGTTTTTGCCAAGTAGGCATTGGCAGGGTCCAGCTCTGCCCCATATTTTCACCCTGGCCACCAAATTGTTCTTGGACCAGTACCACTTTTAGGTAGAAAAAGAGCAAACTGCAGAGTTCCCGATGGCATCTGGGGTCTGATGCCATCCCCACATCTCAGCCAGGAGCTGTGGGATTGGGGCCCGGTGCCAGGGACAGCACAGCAGGGTGCCAAGCAGCTGACTCTGGCTGTACAAGAGGCAGGTTTCAGAATACTGGGAATGAGAACACACCATGCCGCCCTATGGCCTGTCTGGCGGTCTCCCCCTGCCCCGGCGGTGCTGCTTTCTCTTTTCTTGTGAGGGAGGCAAGATGGGCCAGCCCTTGCTTGGCTTCTGGCCCGCACTTAGGGCTTTAAGTGTGGCTGTGGCATCAGAGTAAATCACCATGGTAGCTTTGGGAGCAGAACAGAAGCATCCGGGTCATTGGGGCCACCTGTGTTCACAGATTAGCACAGATGTGTCCTGGGAAAGGCCCACCCCCGAGAAACAAGGAAAGGTTGGTGCATGAGCTTACTTTTTTTTTTTTTTTTTTGATAGAAAATTGTACAAGCTGGAGATAAGGACCTCGACGGGCAGCTAGACTTTGAAGAATTTGTCCATTATCTCCAAGATCATGAGAAGAAACTGAGGCTGGTGTTTAAGAGTTTAGACAAAAAGAACGATGGTAAGTGTCACCTCCAGAGCTGCCAGCGGACCCAGCCTTGGCCTCCCTCGCGCCCAGCTCACACTCAGAGCCCTTGTCGTTGCAGGACGCATTGACGCCCAGGAGATCATGCAGTCGCTACGGGACTTGGGAGTCAAGATATCTGAACAGCAGGCCGAAAAAATTCTCAAGAGGTGAGTGCTCAGGCGGCCGTGTGTTGGTTTAACAAAAGAGAAGCTCTCAGACTAGCTCTGTGATGCCAGTGTTCACTGTATTGGCCCAGTTGCTTCGAACGTGGCCTTCTCGTGGTTTGAAAGGATGAATAAGTAACCCCTCTGGGAGGCCAGCCTCACCCCGGGTTTGCAGGCAGCGTCCATTTGAACTATCACAGATCACCTGGAATTATGCCCGTTCACCAGTGACCCATAAAAAGACTAGCTGCAGTGGGGGGATTCAAGTGGGTGAAAGGCCAGCCAGGAACACCCCTGCCAGTCCAGGAAGGGAGAGGGGATTGCCCCTTGGCTGATCGGAGGTGGATTTCCCAGGCTAGCCACTCGCTGTTAATGCTCTAGTCAGATCTTCCCCAAAAGATAGCTCCCTGCTGAGGGATGGTTGCTGGAGATCGCACGGACTAGCCCTAGGAGCTGCTTTCTCTCCTGGCTGAGCCTTTCCAAACCCTGAAGCCTGGGTGCTGGCTGGTCCTCAGGGACAGCAGCCCCCTACGCCTGCTCCCTGGGGTCGTTCACCGTGGAGGGGCCCGTCCTCGTGGTGTGCTGTCCCCCGACGTCTTGGGTGTGTGCTTGCTTCACTAACATCTGCTCTCAGCACTTACTTGTGTTGTTTCTCCTCTCTCCTCTGCACCCTCCTTTGTCTGTCTGTCAGAATACGAACGGGCCACTTCTGGGGCCCTGTCACCTAGTAAGTATCCGTGTCACCCAATGACTGCCTCCCTCCTCTGTGCCTGATCCTAACGGGATTCTTGTGGCCATTATACTTCTGTATCTGTGCAGAGTGGCAGTGGAGCCACCTTGCCCTTTCTCATCAGGGGCAGAGGCGCCTTCTGTGGCTTCCTCAGTGGCCATGGCGCCTGCCCTTGGCTTGCCTGGCGGTGGGAAGTGCAGCTGCCAGCAGGGCCTGCTTACCCATGGGCATCCTTGCGCTGTCTTGCAGCATGGACAAAAATGGCACGATGACCATCGACTGGAACGAGTGGAGAGACTACCACCTCCTGCATCCCGTGGAGAACATCCCTGAGATCATCCTGTACTGGAAGCATTCCACGGTGGGGACCAGGCCCACGCACATTCCCCACCCGGCTCACAGGGCCCCTTAGCCCAGCATCAGCCAGTTGTCCCTCCCCTGCCAGTCCAAGGGAGCCATCCACATGTTCTCCCGGCTCCCCCTGCCAGGAATGCCCTCTGTCCCCACATGCCACCTGCTCTTCACGGTCCATTTCAAATATCCCTCCTAATGCTGCTGCTCCTAAAGCCCACCTGAGCCTTCCCAATGAGGGGAATGGGGAAAGAACTCCTCTATACAGAGCACATAAGTGGAGCTATCAGGTGTCCGCCCACCCTACTTTTTGGTGTCATTTATCTCTCTGGCAAAAAGGACAACCCCACAGTTGCACCCTTGCTGCCCTTCCATCCTGTCCACTGTGACTTCATGGTCAGAAATCTGGGTCTACATGGACCTCCCTGCCCCCAAGCCCCTTTAGCTTGGTTGTCCCTCTCTGCCACTCCTTGTGGAGGTCCCACTGTGTGCAGTCTTATCCCCCTGGACCGTCCACTCTGGGAGAGGAGGCCAGAGGTGCCCCTCATCAGCCTCCTGCAGTGCCAGGTTGGGTGAAATTGCACGGACGGCTCCAGGGCTGGGAGCAGCTGACCTGGATCTCTGGCCAGCAGCCCTGGCTCTAGTCAGCCCGGATGCCGCTCTGAGAGAGGGTATTACACAGGCAGCAGGCCCTCATATTTGCTGAGGCCTTGCATAACGTTTCGCCAGCATGATCTGGTTACATGCCAGGTTTCAAAGCTTTCACCCCTGACGCGGTCCTTTCAGTGCAGCTGGCCCTCAGCCTTGCCACCAGGCCTTGGGAACTGTTCGTACAGGAGCTCCCGGGCAGCGCTGGAAAGGGCGAGCGGTTTCATAACTGATCCCTTCCAGCTGTGCTCTCCTCTGACTCCGTGTGGCCTCTCCAGGGCCACAACAGGGATGAGAGCTTTGCCACCTTAACAGAGTGAAGGGGAAGGGCCCCCATCAGCTTTCTCCCCAGGGTCCTTGGCGCTCTCACGGTCCCGTGGGCCCTGGGATGGAGCTGCGCAGGAGGGTGGACGGCAGCGGGGCCGACAGCCTTGCCCAAGTGTCCTGAGTAAGGCTTGTGTCATCTTTGTGGTCTTCCTCACAGATCTTTGATGTGGGCGAGAATCTGACAGTGCCTGATGAGTTCACGGTGGAGGAGCGGCAGACGGGGATGTGGTGGAGACACCTGGTGGCAGGAGGCGGGGCGGGGGCTGTGTCCAGAACCTGCACAGCCCCCCTGGACAGACTGAAGGTGCTCATGCAGGTATGCAGGCGAGCAGGCCCCAGACCGTCCGCCTTTGCCTTGGGTGTCACTGGTTGGTTGGTTTCCCCTCCCCTAGGTGGGGCCCTGCTGTGGACCCAAACCTTTCTAACCCAATAAATTAGATTGGAATCATTGCTCAGCCAAGGGTATCATTACATCTACCCTAGGTGACCTTTTGTGCATAGCAGATCTAATTTTATCTGAGGCACTTAAGCCAGACGTCACATTACAGGGCTTAAGCCGGAAAGATGAAGCCAGTGAGATTGGGGTGAGGCAGGAACCAACTTCCTTAAGCACATCTCGGTAGGGCCTGCCCCGTGGTGGGGGCGGGAGGTGGGTGTGCGCAGATCCTCACCTGACCCAGATGCCAGGGGGACACATTGCCATCATCTTTGCCAGGTACCCAAATCCACGTCCACAAGGCAGAGATAAGCTGAGCTGAAGTCAGGCAGATTGTGAAATCAACCCACATGATGACATTCTGGTGGACTTTGATGTCTGTCTCAGCAGTGACCCGCCACACTCTGTCCCCTTGCTTGTGTCTAGTACTTTTTGTGCCAGGAGCCCTGCTCTGAAAAGGCAGCCTCCTTTCCCCTGGGCCCTGGGTTAGAGTGGACAGGTGTGAAACCCATGTGAACTGAGGCAGGGAAGATGAGTGGTTCAGGGCAAAGAGCTCTGGGCTTGGACCCTGCCCCAGCCCTTGGCCCTCCTGGGGCCTCCCTTCATCCATGAAAACGAGGGCTAGAACAATTGCCTCATCAGTGTATGGTTTTTGTTTGGTTTGGTTTTGTTCGTTGAGACCAGGTCTTACTCTGTCTCTGGGCTAGAGTGCAGTGGCGTCATCATAGCTCACAGCAACCTTATACACCTGGGCTCAATCGATCCTTCTGCCTCAGCCTCCCCAGTAGTTGGGACTACACTCATGTGCCACCATGCCCAGCTAATTTTTCTAATTGGTTTTTTTTTTGTGAAGATGGGGTCTCGCTCTTGCTCTGGCTGGTCTCAAACTCCTGACCTACCTCAAGCAATCCTCCAGCCTTGGTGTCCCAAAGTGCTAGCATTACAGGGGTGAGCCACCACACCTGGCCATCAGTGTTTTTTTTTTTAACAGCATTCCCAAGAATGTTGCAGAGAGTAAAAGTAGGCCCTGGGTGAAATGGTACGGTGCCTGGGTTGATACAGTGTCTGGGTGACAGAGCAAACCCTGTCTTTATAAAAATAAATACATAAAAAGTAAAGTGAGGGGGTGGGCAGCAGGGGATAGAGATCAGCTATGGTTTGATCACTGTTGAAGCTGAGTGTGAGTTCCTGGAGGTGCATTACCTAATTCTACTTTTGAATATGTTTGAAATTTTTCTGTAATAAAAAGCTCAATTTTTTTTTTTTTTTTGGAACAACCCTGTGCTTTTCCTTGGATCCATTTTTTTAATTTTAAAAAGTAGTCCTTGTGAAGATGTTTAGCACAATTCTGGCACATAGTAGATGCGTGGTCATCTAGTTGAACCTAACTTAGCCATGTTTAAGTCTCATCATGCTGAGTTCATCTGCAGAACACCAAGAAGGAAGACCTTTCCTGTTGGCCAGTGAGAAGAGGCTCTTGGCAGGAGGATGGCAGCCGCGGGCCCCACTAGGTTGTGTCTGACCAGCTTGTTCTTCCTCAGGTCCATGCCTCCCGCAGCAACAACATGTGCATCGTTGGTGGATTCACCCAGATGATTCGAGAGGGAGGAGCCAAATCACTCTGGCGGGGCAACGGCATCAACGTCCTCAAAATCGCCCCTGAGTCAGCCATCAAATTCATGGCCTATGAACAGGTGAGTAGCCATCCACTGGCAGGGAGAGCTGCCAGTCTGCAGCTGCTACCGGCTTCCCCTGGGCTGAGCTCCCTGAAACCTGAGCCAGTCATCCTACCCAGGGGACAGTGGGCGGGGTGGGAGACCTGGGCCTGACACTGGCTTTGCCGCCAGTTCCACTTCGGGCCAGTTCCTTCCTTTTCTGGGCAGCATAAAATGTGCCAGGGATTGCAGGTCTTGTCCAAAATGTACTGGCTCCAAGAGGAAGGGTAGGGCAGGGGCAGGTGCCCAGTCTCTGGATGTATCCGGTGGTTTTTCTCCCGGTTCTAGATCAAGCGTCTGGTTGGTAGTGACCAGGAGACTCTGAGGATTCACGAGAGGCTTGTAGCAGGGTCCTTGGCAGGGGCCATCGCCCAGAGCAGCATCTACCCGATGGAGGTGAGGGGCCACCTTCTTCCTGGGGGCGGCGGTGTGCATGGGGCCGGGCTGAGGAGTGGGCTGTGCTCACACTTCCTGTCGCTCCCCTTCTGTAGGTCCTGAAGACCCGGATGGCCCTGCGGAAGACAGGCCAGTACTCGGGCATGCTGGACTGTGCCAGGAGGATCCTGGCCAGAGAGGGGGTGGCCGCCTTCTACAAAGGCTATGTCCCCAACATGCTGGGGATCATCCCCTATGCCGGCATTGACCTAGCGGTCTACGAGGTGAGGCCCTGGAGGGCTCAGGCCCTGGGCAAATTAGAAAACCCTGTGCTGCCCACACCTGCCCGCTGGCGCCCTCCCTGATGGCACAGGAAGCAGCATCAAAGAGTGCTGCTCTGCCTGGGCTCCCCTCCACCCTGCCTGCCCCGGCAGCCCCACCACAGCTCCGGTGAGCCCGCCAGGGTCTGCACCTCTGGAGCTCAGCAGGCAGATCCCCAGAGCATGTGGCCCTCGGGGGTTCATGGGCCCCCAGCAGACTCCAGACAGAACACAGAAGTCAGGTGTTCTGTGTGGGAAAGCGCCCTGTCATATCCAGGGATCCCAGAGACAGCCGAAACAAGGGCAGGCAGGCCAGGAGCTCAGCAAAGCCCAAGCCAGGCCACACACTCAGCTTACAGTGGCCTCAGGGATCAGTAACTGCCCCACCCCAGTCTCACTGCCTCCCCAGCTCTCCCTGGGGCTCATGCCTGCACCCCCTTCCTGTCTAGACGCTCAAGAATGCCTGGCTGCAGCGCTACGCAGTGAACAGTGCAGACCCCGGCGTGTTTGTGCTCCTCGCCTGTGGCACCATATCCAGCACCTGTGGCCAGCTGGCCAGCTACCCGCTGGCCCTGGTTAGGACCCGGATGCAGGCACAAGGTAAGGCCGGTCCGGGCCATTCCCAGGAGCCTGTCTCCAGGTGCGGTGGGGGGTCGGGAGGTGGGGACAGCATCTGACAGGGGGCCTCTCCCACAGCCTCCGTCGAGGGCGCTCCACAGGTGACCATGAGCAGCCTCTTCAGACAGATCCTGCGGACTGAGGGGGCCTTCGGGCTGTACCGGGGGCTGGCCCCCAACTTCATGAAGGTCATCCCAGCCGTGAGCATCAGCTATGTGGTGTACGAGAACCTGAAGATCACCCTGGGTGTGCAGTCGCGGTGACGGGCGCACAGCCGCACCGGCAGACTCACCGATCCCGGCTGCACCCGGGATGTGCAGCCACCTCATTCTATGAATGCGCCAACACTACGCTGACTTGCGCCAAGCTGTGAAAACCCTGGGACGAGCCCATGGGGAGGGGTGGGGAGAGCTGGCAGGTCCATGGGCTTGTCCTGCTGACCCTGGTGGACCCTTCCGTAGGATCCAGAGAAGACCCATGGGCATTTCTCAGGGTCCGGGGTCAGCAGGATCCATGCTTACACACCTGGGGACAGGACATCTCCTACAGTGCCTGCCAAAGAGTGAGCTTGGAGGCCAAGTTAGTTTTTCCATCTTGTCCTTGCAGCCAGACGTGGGCTGCAGGCCCCGCGCCCCTCTGCTTCCTTCCTCTCTGCAAGTGCAGTGGGAGGAGGGCTCACGGCCGCGCCCTCCCCAGCCCTCCCCCGCAGTCCGTGGTGAGAGGTGAGGCCAGTCTGACTCCCAACCGACAGGGTTAACACTGACTCGGCTGGGCCGGGGAAGAAAAGGGTCTGGTTTCTGTGCCCACCCTCCACCTGAGTCCTGCTGTTGGCTACCGAGCTCGCCAGCAGCTGAGCGCTAGGAGCACGTGTGCATGCGGCGGGCTCCCAGCTTGGGGCCTCTTGGTGCTCTGAGCTGGGCTGGACTGTGTCAGGACCGGCCCCACGCTGTGGCACGAGGGCAGTGGAGATCATGTTTTAGAGTGAAGGGCGGAGCGTCTGCATGCCCTGCTGAGAGAGAGAGAAAGGTGTTGAAGGCCTTAATTATGTATCGTTGGGAAAAGGGTTTTGTTCGCACAGACATGCTGGACAGATCCACAAGTTCTGTGCTTCTGGAGGGAAGAGCAGATCAGGTTGTTCAGCTGACTGCATTAAAGTCTGCTTCCGATGCCCCTGGGGACTTGTGTCTAATCCCCTTGGGGCAAAGTGGGACCAGCCTCACATTCCACTTATGTGACATGTCACTCTGCTTGGAGCCTATTTATTTTGTATTTATTTGAACAGAGTTATGTCCTAACTATTTTTATAGATTTGTTTAATAGCCTGTCATTTTCAAGTTCATTTTTTATTCATATTTATGTTCATGGTTGATTGTACCTTCCCACGCCGCTGGGTGGGGGGCAGGGAAAGGAGAAGGGGTCTTGGGAGGGACCCTTCCCACTGCCCAGGCTCAATGTCATGTCCAAAGAAATTCCTTTCGGGACTAGAGACAGAAGGAAAGGCAGGTCCTTTGGCCAGGGCAGTGCAGCGCCTGCCCCCAGGGAGCCTCAGGAACCTGGGTGATGGGGCAGGACAGTGGGAGAAACCTCAGCACTGCTGGCAGAAGTCCAGTTTCCTGGACTGGGAGGATTTCTTTATTTCAGCCTCTTTGAATGACAAGGCAGTGAGGTGCCTCTCGCTGTGAGTTTTGGGGGGCTGGAGGAGGGTAGGAGCCAGCTCCACCCCACCCTTCCCTCAGTAATGCTGGTCACCTTCACAGCATGCTGCCAGCATGGCCTGACGGGAACTGCCACAGGACGCACAGACCAATGCAAAAACTGTTATATATAAATATATATAGTTATAACTGGAATTTGTCAAAAAGCAAATTAAAGAATTGGAAGTTATCATTTAAAACAGCCTTCTAATAAAGTTTCAAAGCTGATGGAGCCAAGATTTTTCTTATCTGGGCTTGGGAGGTTTGGGGGCATTTGTAAGCCAGAAAATGAATCCATTTTTTTCCTCTGAAGCCTGGGCAGCCCACCCTCATTAGTGGTTGTTAGATTTGGGGTGTTCTCATCAGTGCCCCAAGTTGCCCTGCCGGGTGGTCATGACTCAGCCCATCTTGGGCAGGGCCATCCCTCCCTCCGTGGAAGCACCATCTTTACGGGGACACTGCAGGGCTTCTCTCCACCCTGCTGGCTGTCCCTCTGTGGCCTCAGACCCTCCTCTTCACCTACACTCCAAGTGACTGCATTTCCCTGAAGATTACTCTCAGCATCTATATGTACCTTGTTTTATACTTAAACTGACTCCAGATCCACTAATCCAACTACAGACTCCACATCTCCACTTAAACAGCTAACAAGCATCTTAGGTTTTCCTCCCAATCCTCCCCTTTTCCTCATCCCAGCAAATGGCAACCCCTTGCTTCTAGGAACTTGAGCCAGAAGCCTGGGAGTCATCCTGGACTCCGCACTTCCCGCTTATTTCAGTCAGTCCACCAGCAAGCCCTGTCAGCTCGCTCTGCAAAATATCATCTGCAATCCGACCACTTACAACCTCCACTCCTGCCACCTGCTCGAAGACAGTCATTTCTTATCCGGACGATTGCAAAACATCCCACACTTGTCTCTCCTTCTCCCCTCGCACACTAAGCCTGAGTGACCCTTCGAACCCAAGTCTGGTTCATGTCACCAAAACCCTCTACGCATAGGCCATGGCCTGGGAAAATCTTTACAGTATATAACAGACGTTAAGTATATAATCTGGTAGGATCCGTATCCAGCACATGGTAACTCCTGTACTCGAGAGGACAACCCGATTAACCGGGCAGTTCACAAAGGAAGATGGGGACTGGTCAATAAACGTGAAAAGGCTCAGTACCGTCAGCTATCTGGAGAAGCAACACTGCAACGATGGTCGCCTCTGGGCGAGGGTGTCCCCAGCCTGGGCCTGTCCTCAGTTCCATCCAGCTGGGAGGAGGTCAGCTTCGGGTTTGAAGCGGAGCCTCCCCAGCAACCCTCCCTGTGGCTACGCTCCACAGCCGGCTGACCAGCTGAACCGAAAACGAAGAGTATCCGCGGCAATCCAGGTGGGCCCAGTGTGGAGAACTGGGACGTCAGTGTGGAAGAGGGAACAGGGAGCCAGCGAGACGGCCTGGGGACTCCCACACCACCTTGCTGGGCCGCAAGCAATGGCAGCCTCTGAAAGGCAGGAAACAGAGCCTCCGGGCCTCCAAAGGACAGCCCTGCTGACACCTTGATTTTAGCCCCATGAGACCCATGTCAGACATCTGACCTCCAGGACTGATAATAAATTGAGTTTGGGCTAATCTGCTACAGCGCCGCAGGGAGCATGCATGGGTAGCTCCAGATGTCCCTCTGGCCCCTGGTGGGATGAATTCCCCTTGGTCAGAGTTGCAGCTAGAGTCCTGCGAGGCCGGCAGGGCCAGCTGCAGGGAACTTGCCAGACCGACAGACACAAGGACCGTGGAAAGAGTTCCACATATCAGGACTCGTGTGACCCTAGGCAAGTCACGATACCTTCTTGAGCCTGTCTGCTTAGCCCTTAGATTGAGGAGAGCAAGGCTCGCCGCGGGAGGCTGTGGGAAGTGGAAATGAGGCAGGAAATGGGACAGCTGTCCTTCACTAACAGTTTCGCCCCAGCAGCCTCCGTCCTCCAGGCCACTGCACCAGGGTGACCGCCCCTTTGTCCTCGCTGGCCTCCGGTCTCAGGCATCCGAGAGAGGAAATCTGAGCCAGCCTGGAGCGCCTGAACTGGCGCAGTCTATGGTCCTTCCGACGCTGGGCACTGCACAAGCAGGCCCTTGGCTCAGCACAGCTCTGGGAGGGGCGGCTACTGCCACGTGCCCTTTACAGATGAGGAAACTGAGGCATCCAGGAGGTCGGCGCTTGCCCAGGCCTCCCCTGAGAAGAGACAGAGAGAGAACAGCGAGAAAGGGGTCAGGTGGGTGGCCCCTGACTGGCATGCTGCCAGCATGGGGGTGAACATGGGGCTGGCTCTGCTGGGAGGCAGGGAGCCACTGCCCACACCAGCCCACCGGTGGGACCTTCACCAAGCTAGACATGCCCAAGGGACAGGCACCACTCACCTGGCCCCAGGAAGGTGGCACCTGGTCCCTGGCTGCCTCCCTGGGGCTAGGAGGCCACCCAGAACTGGGAGATGTTGGGCAGGCCTGTGCCTGAACCCTGATCCCGGTGGTGATCCCGGGCAGGTTTTCTCCTCTCTGAGCCTCAGCTTCCTCCCCAGCAAGAGGGAGGCCATACCTTCCCTACAGCCCAGGGGGGAAGGGACTTGTGTCCTCGTTCATGCGAAGGGTAAATAAATGTTAAACCGAGGTCCAAACCAGCTCTGTTGACTCAGGCCCTGTTCTCAACCCGGGCTCAAGGCTGGGCTGCCTGCAGTCCAGATCTGGCCGGTCTGAGCGGGCTGGAATGTAGGGGAAAGGCGGCGAGAGGAGGGGCGTGTGCCGGCCCGGCTGCCCAGGCCTGGACCTTGGTATCTGCCCTCCAGGGCCTAGGGCCGAGAGGCAGCAGGAGCAGCCTGCGTGGCTGGGCTCGCCGGGAGGGGCTGGGGAGGGACATGGGGGGGACAGAGGAACCAGGAATAGTGCCCCATCCTGCACATGAGTAAACTGAGGCCAGAGAGGGCCTGAGGCCTGCCCCAGTCCCCAGGGGCAAGATAAACCTAGGCCTTCCGCTCTGGGCTTCTCAGAACAAGGGGGCTGGCTGGGAACAGCCACAAGGAGACAGGCTCTCTGGGCCATGTGCCACCGCCCATCAGCACAGCCCCTTGGCCCAGGGAAGCCATCATCTCCACGGCAGTGGAGGCTGACACGAGAGGAAGCGACCCACCCACGCTAGCCAGTGCGGGCGCCCCTGGCTGAACACAAGAGCCCAACCCCCGGCCTCTCATCTTACAGAGGAGGAAACTGACAGACAGACTGGGGACAGAAATCTGGGAACTTGCCCAGGTCACCAAGCCCCCTGCAGCCACCTCTCTTCCCTCCTATACTGGGCTTAAGTCATTTGTACCACTGTCCCGGGGCAGCTGCTGCCAGTAACCACAAGCCTGGTGACTTAATGCAACACAAATGTCTCTTACAGTCTTGGAGGCCGAAGTCCAGTCGGTTTCACTGGGCTGAAACCAGGTGACAGCAGGGCTGGTTCCTGCCAGAGGCTCTCAGGAGAGTCTGGCTCCTTGCCACCTCTGGCCTCGGGAGGCATCCGCACACCTAGGCTCGGGTCCCTTCCTGGCACCTGCAGCCCCAGAGCTTCCGTCCTCACGCCTCACTTACTATCTGTGCGTGCGGTCAATTAGGATCAGCTGAAATCAACTCCCGCCAGGGTCTCCCCCTGCCTGCCTCTTAGGATGCTGTGATCACAGTCAGGGCCCACCTGGATGACCTCCCCCGCTCAAGACCATTAACTACATCCATCTGCTAATACCAGTGCCCTTTACCACGTAAGGTGAATCTCACAGGTGAGAGGGGTTAGGATCTGGATGGATTTGGGGCCACTCATCAGCCCAGCACAAGCGCTGTTCCCCGTCAGACATTCCCACCCTCAAAATCCTTCCCACTCCACTGGTTAAATAAAAGCCGGGCACCATGGCTCACACCTGTGATTCCTGCACTTTGGGAGGCCGAGGCAGGAGGAGCGCTTGAGGCCAGCCTGGGCAACATTAAAAGACGCCATCGCTACAAAGAAATTTTTAAAAAGTTAGCCTGGCGTGGTGGTGCACGCCTGCAGTCCCAGCTCCTCAGGAATGGAGGAAGTGAGAACGGAGAGTGCTGAGAACAGCAAGACCCCGCCCCGCCCCGCGGGGAGGCAGGGGGGCTCCGGGGGAGAGCGAGTCTGTGGGGAGGATTCTCGTTTGTTTTTTTGTTAAATTTGAAAATTTTCATTTTAATTATGCACGTAATGAATGTTTATTGTACATAGATAGAAATTGCAGATAAGCAAAAAGATGATGCAAATTATTCAGTCCCTAACCATTTTTAATATTTTTGCAGCATAGTAATAATATTATGGAAATAAACCAGGGAACAGTCATATACTGGCACTTGGCACTTGGAGGGTAGGTCGTTCCTGACATGGAATATGTTCATGATTGAGAAACCATTGTATGATCTGAATTTTTTTTTTTTTAGCTGAAAAAAAAGTTTTATTCAGAACATTGACTGGGGAAAGTCTTCCCATTTGCTTCCCAGCTGACTTCTCCTAAAATCACACAAGCAAATGGCTGACTCGTCATTGTGAAGGGAATAGGACCCTCTTGATTGTCTTAGACCAAACAGGATTCACCCTCTAGGGCTGCGGAAGGGCCAACCTACCCTGACGCAGAAGGCTTGGGGAGAACAGCATATACTTGTACGCAGCAAGGTCCTTCCCCAAATCTTTTGCAAATGGGGTGGCCTTGCCACACAATTCTGGCCTGAAGATAAAAACCCATATCTGCTAGAGATTTCTGGGAAAGATTTTGTTTTCCTGACTCAAGCAGCTTTCCTTCCTTTCTCTTTGTTCTTTCTTGTCCTTTCCTGGCAGGAGGCATGCAGCTGGAGGTGGAGCTGCTACCTGGCAGCCTTGAGTAACAAGCAAATTTCAAAGTGATCTGAATTTTTGTTGTTTTGTTGTTGTTGTTGTTTTTTAGAGATAGGGTCTCCCTCTGTCACCTGGGCTGGAGTATAGTAAAACAATCATAGCTCACTGCAGCCTCAAACTCCTGGGCTCAAGCGATCCTCCTGCCTCAGCCTCCTGAGTAGCTGGGCCTACACACCACCATGTCCAGCTAATTTCTAAATTTTTTGTAGAGATAGGGTCTTGTTATGTTGCCCAGGCTGGTCTTGAACTCGTGGGCTCACGTGATTCCTTTCATTTGACCTCCCAAAGTGCTGGAATTACAGGCACAAGCCACTATGTCCGGC